GGGTGGGCCCAAGGGGCCCACCAAATGTAAGAGGGAGTTTGTTTTGTTTGCCCTAGGGGTAATTAGGGTATTTTGGAGGGATCATGTGAGGGTTAAAAGGGAGTTAGGGTTGGTTTGAGAGGGATCTTGTTTTGGTGGCTGTTTTAGCTTTCTTCTAATCTAGGGCTTGGGAGAAAGCTTCTCTTCTCGAATTGAGAGCATTGTATCCGTGGAAACTTATAAGTCTTTTGATATTTAAGTAATCGAAGTGTTTGTGAGTGTTTCCATCCAAGAAATCCTCCATTTTTCCACTGTTTTTGGGCTGTTTTTCTTGGATTCCGAATTTTTTGCAACTCAAGTTCCATCACATACAAAGGCGCCCTTAAGGAATTCGTCTTCTTTCAAGAATACTATTGTTTGTTGTTGAGTTTGGGTTATGCAAGTCCTTTATAGTTTATGCAATTGGCATTGAAGATATCATGTGATATTTTGACAATTAAAGATGCCTTTAACATGCATGTTGAACAAAACCCTGCCTTTGATTAAGTGGTATTGTGACAATTAATAAAATATTGTTTTGAATGAAGTTGTCCAATATTGATTCCGTAGGTGTTGCTGTCTTTGTTACTTAACTTGATCATGTCATCTTTTTTTTTAAAGTAAAATGATTTCTTGCGAGTTATGAAAGATGTCTTTATCTTACTTGGATAACTATAAGTCAAATAGTTTGCATGTAATACATATCTTGCCTTTGATTGTGGTGCTTCAATGATTCATTAAGATTAAGCGCTTTAATATTCCTAGAATTAGCTCCCAAAATTTTCTCTATGCATTTCTCGGGTGATTTTGGCGTTGTGGCACTTTTCTTCAACCTATTTTCTATTATGTGCTTCTATTCCTATCAACTTATTTTTATCTAAATGTGTTATTGTTTCACTTTTTCATAGTTTCTATGAATTTTATTGTAGTTGTAATGTGCTAAATGAATCTATAGTGGTGGCACCATGTTTTGGGTTGATATTAACTTGAATTATAGATTTCTATCTATTGGTGATGCGAGCTAGAACCTTATTCTTGATACTTGATAGTGAAGATGTTGATTTGTCTGATATCCCTTACACTCGAAGGCTCAAGTTTAGTTCATTCTCAGTCATTCAGCTAGTAAAAGGACTAAAGGAGATTCTGTGGTACTTAAGAGTAGCCTGTCATAGATGAATGTTGGCGGCAATCTGTTTGTAAATGTTTCACCATTGCACTCAAAGTTGTTGTTTAATCTTGTAGTTTGTTTTGCTCTAAAGACTTCACGTTCATCATATTATTCACCCTATCAAACTATTTGAGGTCAGCTTTATGAATTTTTTCATTATCTATTTATTTTTGTTTAGTGCATCATGAGGTGATGCTGCCTTTTTTTTTTCAACTCTTCCAACATGTTATTAGAAACGACCTTGCTATATTAGATTTAAGGGAAATTTACATACATACCACTTTATACCATCTTATTTACAAATCTAACACTCAAAACATTAATATTACATACATACCACTCTATATTATTTTAATATCAAATATGCCACTCATATTTCCTTTCTACCACTCATATTTTATATGAAAATGAACCATATGTGATATTTATGTAATATTAAAGTTGTAGATGCTAAATATGTAAATAGAGTAGTATATGGTGATATGTATGTAAATGTCCCTAGATTTAAATGAGAAATTGACTTTTAATAGGGCACAATATAGAAAAAGGATTCATGTAGTAAAAGGATTCATGTAGTCGACCCCATATAATGGGATAAAGTTTTGTTGTTGTTGCTGCTTCCAACATGTTATTTTTGGTCTTTCCTTCTTGCCTTGCTAATTCTGAGAGAGTATTGTTATTTACTCATCTTATTGTTGTATCTCCTATACTTCATTGGACATTCCCAAATTTTCTATTTATTTTTCATTGCCATATCCTTCAACAAGTGCTACTTCCACTTATTCATTTTTGGGTTCAGATCCCTGATGGTCTTTAACCTTGATGAAAATTGCAGTACTTGGACCGTCCAGGCATAAGCTTTTGCAGCAGAACAACTTATGAAGACAATGCAATAACTAATGCAGTTGAAATATATGACACTTCCAGGTTGGTTTATAAGGTATTTATTATTTTATAACCATGTTATGATCTAATCTGTTATTTATTCTATTCAGTGGTGCTGTTCACTTCATGGCTTCAAATAATGATTGTGGAGTCAGAGATTATGACATGGAGAAGTTCCAGCTCTCTAGGCAATTTTGTTTCCCATGGCCTGTCAATGTAAGTTAATATCTACTCTTTCCTCTTTTTTTTTTTTCCTTTGCTCGTTTAAATTTCATAAGCTCAAAAATATTGAGATATATTATTGTGTATTTCCATTATCTACCGATGCCTGCCTACCTATGTCAATGTGTGCGCTCATCCTTAGATTTGTATGCATGGCTTCATGAAGCATGCTATGTTATTTATATATGTCAATACTTTGCTTTGCCAACATTTTTCTTCCAAAAATGATTATCATATCCTTTTTTTATTGATATTAGATGGTCAAATCAGACATCTAATGTCACATCTGAAGAATTTTTTTACTGTTTTTAATATGTAGATAATATTGACATGTCTGAATATATTAACATTGAATTGAATACAGTATTGATAGATAACTCTAACATCTTAATTAAATTGTGCTAACCTGTCCCTAAAAGTGTTTAAGTTGTCTTAAGAGGAAGTTTGGTTCACACATAGCAATGTAATGCCATGATATTTGAAGATTCCAGTCGTTTACTTTGCTGACGCCTTTAAATAACTTACATATAAATGATATAAGTTCTAAATCAGTGACATCTAGATGTCAGCAGAACACAACTCAACTTGACATGTTGGTTGAGAGCTTAGGCTTTCAACTAAGAGGCCTTGAGTTCGAGTCTTTGTATATACGTTGTGTGTGTGAGTTTGCCTTAATTGACCTAAATGTCAAAAAAAAAAAAAAAGTCAGCAAATATTGTACGACCTCTTAAGATGTTTTTTTTTGGAAGAACCCGGGGCTTGAAGCCCATGTATTAAGAATGAAAGTAGCAAATTACAAGTAAACCTTTGTAAAGAAAACTAAGAACAAAAACTAAACAAAAATACACAAAGACAGCTGCAAGAAGAAAATAGGACAATAGGCAAGTGAAAGACTCAGAATGTAGGCACAGTCTCATTCATCATGCTTAATCTGTATAGTGTTAGATGGATTCCAGGCGGTTGCACTGGTTGCTCGATAAACCAACACCCGCATCAGTTACAGTGGCCGTCGCAGCACATCCAGCCTGCCCATAAAGAATCCCAAAAACGAGCAAGGTTGCCACGCAGGCCCTCCATTGCTCGGAGAGATTGGCTTTGCTCATCATTGTCTGAATGCCAATCATCCACCCATCTTGCCAGCTTAAATCTTTGCAGCCAACCCGGGATTCCAGAGTTAAAAAGTCCACATTCAATCTGGGATGAGAAAAACATCAAAACCTCACATACCCAGGAAGGAGCTACCCGAGTCCAAAAAGGATCAAAAAACAAAAACTGTGCCCGCTCAATGCACCTGGAAAGAAACAGAGTCCCAATTTTGACACAACAAAATGCATAGAAATACTTGCGGTATATAGTCATTCTCCAACCAATTAACAGAACCTGATGGCAGATTAGATGCCCAAAAAATCCAGATGCGAAGTTGTTTTGTGTTTCCATTTAACCGATTTCAGTCTAATAGCCGCATAGATGTTGCAAATAACTTTAGCCACATTGTTTCTAGTATTTGAGAATCGACGATTGTTTTTTTTCCTCCAAATGTGATAAGTAATGCAGCTAATGGCTAAAAAGCAAACACTCTTTCCAGCACTATTTAACGTTTTAGAGTTTTCAATAAAATCCAAAGCCTGGGGCAGAGTAGGCCTAAGTAAAAAACTGTTGAATTCCGGCAGAATCTTCTTAAGAATATAAAAAGAGAAATCACAATCAAAAAATAAATGAGGATGATTCTCTGTGTGGCCCGAGCAATGGGAGCAATTCATAGGTACCAAGATACCTCTCAGATGCAGGTTATCCGCAGTTTTCAGTTTGCCAATACGAGCCATCCAAGTAAAACATGCATACTTCAGGGCATAATTCTTGTGCCAAATGGATCTATACCAGTCAACCTTGGGTAAATGAGAGTAAAAAAATTCAATGAAATTTTTAAAAACCCATTTAGAATTTCCATCCCATAAGACTTCGTTGGTGCCTTTGATTTCCACAGATTTTATAGTGTCATGAATACTAGGATGAAAATGATTAGGAAGATACCAGGTATCATTCCTAAAATATTCCTTGATTAAAATATCATCCATACCCGGCAAATGATAAATTTCCACAAGCGAATTGCCATTAAGCCACGGGTCCCATAGGAAAGAAAAATTGCTGTGATTGGAGACAGAAAATTGTAATAGCCTTTTGATCTTAAAGAATGTTTCAGTAATTCTGTGCCAGGTTTTTGAGGCAGTTAAGGTTGGATGTTTCGAAGGAGAAATGTGCTTGGCTTTATACCAGCAGCTAAGCAGATTGTGATTATTATAAAACCTGCCAATTATAGAACAGAACACTCCAAAATAGAGTGCATCAATAGAAGGTATGCCAAGGCCCCCAGCATCTTTAGGAATATTGACTTTAGACCACGGAATGAGATGCAGTTTTCTCTCCACCAAATTGTTGTGAAATAAAAACTTAGAGCAAAGTTTGTTTATGATATCACAGCAGCCCTTTGGAATGATGGATCCTCTAATACAATAAGCAATTGAGTTGGTGATGGTAAATTTAAGAAATTGCACCCTACCTGCAAAAGAAAGAAAATTGTTTTTCCAACCAGCAAGTAGAGCAGAAATTTTGCTCAGTAGTGGTTGAAAGTGAGTGGCTTTAAGTCTTTTAGGTGAAATGGGAATACCAAGATAAGTGAGGTGAAGATTGATGTTGTGGATCCCAAGTTCCTCACAGATAGTTTGATTGCCAGGATCATTAGAAGAAAAAATGATAGCACTCTTGCTAGGATTGATATGCAAACCCGAAACAGTGGCAAAATTCTGCAGACAAGTTTTAAGATTATTGGCATTTTCTTTACTGGACTCCCCCATCACCAGAAGATCATCAGCATACATCAAGTGATTGATGTAAAAATCTTTGCAGTTAATACCCTTGAAATTATGAGAAGAAGCTGGGTCGATTAGGATGTTGGATAAGCCATCCATAGCAATACAAAAAAGAAGAGGAGACAAGGGGCATCCTTGTCTAAGACCCGAGCTAGAATTGAAAAAACCTTCAAGGGATCCATTCAAACAAATGGAGAAATGAACGTCAGTAATGCATCCTTTGATCCAAGTGACAAAAGGTTTCAGGAAAACCTTTATGTAAGAGTCTTGCAATGATGAATTCCCTGGATATAGAGTCAAAAGCCTTCTTAATATCCAGTTTCGCACAAAACATCTTGTTATTGCCTTTGAAATCTCTAAGTAATTCAGCAGCTAAAATGATATTATCTGTCAAACATCTATTGGCTATGAAACCAGATTGGCTTTCATGAATAATATGTGGAAGAACAACTTTGAGTCTATTGGCAATGACTTTGGCAACAATTTTGTATAGGACATTGCAAAGTGAAATGGGTCTGTAGTCACTTAAGTTAGATGCGTGGGAGCTCTTGGGTATTAAAGCAATAGCACTTGCCTTAACACCTCTCGGAAGAGAGCCAGTAGAAAAAAAATTTCCAACAGCATTGAATACTTGCAAACCAATAATATGCCAAGATTTCCTATAGAAAGCATATGTAAAACCATCGGGTCCAGGAGCTGTGTTTTCATTACCATCAAAAACCGCCTTCTTGACTTCATCAAAAGTCAAAGGAGCCACCAAGTTATTGCCAAAATGAGATGGCAGCAGCTTGCCATGAGGAATATCCAGTGGAAGTTGAAGGGCAGGGTGAGAAGTATTAAATAATCCCTCGAAATGTTTAATGACAACAGAAGAAATGTCATTAAATTTAGTGTAATGCCCATCAGGAGTATAGATCTCCTTAATGTTGTTCTTGTTGTTTCTGCTTCTAATATGGGCAAATAAAAACCCAAGGTCATCTTCCCCTTTAGTAAGCCATAACACTTTAGCTCTTTGAGCTAACCAAGAAGTCCAATGATTTTGAAATGTTGCAAGCTTCTCATTTATATTCTTCAAATTCTGATTTAGAACCAAATCAAGAGGTTGGGATTGTAGTTGCTCCAAACATTGTTGTTGCTTGCTTTTAATTTCCAATAGAGCATTAGAAAGATAAGAAGAGGATGCCAAATTTCTATTTTTTAATGACCTCTTAAGAATTTGTAAGCTATGGGCAAAAGAAGCCATGGGGCTTCTAGCCGATCTGGATGAGAAAGCAGAAATAACATCATCCCAATATCCCTCCAAATTTATCCAATAATTTTTGAACATAAATCTGACCGATAAAGCTTTTTCATGAGACGAATTGAAAATAATAGGGGAGTGATCAGAACCTAGATGAGATTCCACGCTATAATAAGCATTAGGAAAAACATCCAATAATGCATTGTTCACCAGAACTCTGTCCAACTTGATGTGGATGGGGTTATCCACTCTTTGATTGTACCAAGTATAGTGTAGACCCGTGGAAGAAAGATCTTGCACCCCGCAATTAAAAATGAAACTATTAAGTTCACCCAACCTACTATAAGAAGAAGCATTGCCACCAGCTTTATCAGTTTCATATCTGTAGCAGTTAAAATCTCCCAAAATGACCCAAGGTTGGTCTAAAGGGGGGGAAGAAGCAATGATCTGATCCCATAGTTTTTTCCGGTCCTCCATAGAGTTAGCAGCATAAACAACAGTAAGAAAAATCGGAGGGAAAGATCCCACAGATAGAATACCATGGATGTGTTGGAAGGAGGAAGAAATAGGATTAAAGGATAAAACCGACTCATCCCATTTTATCCAAATCCTGCCCAAAACAGAGTCCCCAAAATTGTTGCAATTTCCTTCATTCTCAAAGAGACGATGAGAACGAAGAAACCACTGATCATCATAAGAAGCAAGAGAGATTTTTGCTTCCAAAATGCATAACATCTTGAGATTCAAAGAAGAAATCAAAGACTTGCAAAAACTGACTTTGTCAGGGTTATTGAACCCCCTAACATTCCAACTAGCAAATTTAGGTAAGGACATTATGATTTGTGACCTTTGGCCTTCTTGGCCGATTTTGATTTCGGAGGCTTTGACTTGATAGGAGATTTTCCTTTTTCACTAGAAGATCTAGTATTATGACAGATTTTATCAGAGAGGTTCTGATTCTTAGATTGAGGGGAAGGGTCATCATCAGCAAAAGAGAAGGATAAGCTTTCTTTCTCTGAAATAGAATCGGAGGAATCTGGAGGAATTTGGTCTTCCGTTTGCAAAAAAGCAAACTTGTTTAAGACCTTAGTGTACTCTTAAGATGTCACTAACATGTTTGAAAACCTTAGCGTACTCTTAAGCTGACATAATTTATGAAAAATATGGTTGACATCTTAATAAAACTAACATCTAAATATCATTTAAATGAAATTAGATCAAATGTTTGTATGGATTTGTGTACTATTACTCCCACTTGTTCTCTTGCAGCACTCATCTCTCAGTCCTGATGGAAAACTACTTGTGGTTGTGGGAGACAACCCAGAGGGAATCATGGCAGACTCTCACTCTGGAAAGGTACTCCATAATAGTTAAAAATCCTTCAACTTAGATGGTAAAAAGAGAACACAATATGCTAAAATTTCCACACTCACAGACCATTCATGACTTGCAAGGACACCAAGACTACTCCTTCGCATCTGCATGGAATCCTGATGGCCGAACTTTTGCGACCGGCAATCAGGACAAGACCTGCAGAGTATGGGATGTCAGAAATCTGTCCAAATCAGTTTCTGTATTGAGAGCCAATCTTGGAGCAATTCGATCGATTCGATTCACATCAGATGGGCAGTTTATGGCAATGGCTGAACCTGCAGACTTTGTTCACATTTTTGATGTAAAGAGTGGCTATGAGCAGCAGCAGGAGCTGGATTTCTTTGGTGAGATATCTGGTATGTCTTTTAGTCCTGATACTGAGGCTCTTTTTATTGGCGTTTGGGACCGCACTTATGGAAGTCTCTTACAGTACAAACGGTGTAGGAACCTTTCTTACTTAGACTTCCTGGTTTGAAAAGCTTGAGAACCCACCCGTGATCTTTTTCATTGCTTGTGAGCTATGGGGAAATCATTGTATTTCAATAAAATTAGTAAGAGGAAGAAATGAAAATGTTTTGTGTGCATAGCTTAGGCAATGAACTGGTGAGAGAGAGAGAGAGAGAGAGAGAGAGAGAGAGAGAGAGAGAGATGATGATGATGAAATTAGCTGTATGTAGTTTATATACCAATGTTTAAACACTTCATTGTATTGATTAATTTTCGATCATTCAAAACTCCAGTCAAGATTTTTATTTTCTCATTCTTAAGCTGGTTGGTCTGCTTCTTGATTGTTGGAAGAGAAACGTTTCATATTTTTGCTTCTTGTTTAAAACAACAAAAACAAAGGTGTTTGAGGATCTTGACCTGTCTAGCTTCGGCTCTCATTGTAGAGGTCATGGTATAGATTTATGATTAAGAGTCTGTTTGGGATAACTTTCTGGATGCTGTCATTCATATAGTAATAACTATTTCATTTGGCTATTGCTTTCTTATTGATTTTCAAAAAAAAAAATTATAATAGAAAGTTGATTTATGTAATCATAGTAACAATTTTCTTCATAATAAATTCACAATCAACTTTATAAATCTTAAATTTATTTAAAAGTTCTAAAAAAAAAATGATGTGACATTGGTCATGTGTTTAAGAAATAAGATTAATAATACCCTTTAACTTTTTATGATGTTGTTGGGAGTCTACACAAATACCTTTAAATTTTGATATTTTGTATTCAAAATAATTATAATTTTTTTTTTACATTTTTCATGTTGTAATGAAGTATATGAGTTCGTAACAAAATTTTTGGCATGGTATTTTCACAAAGCCAAAATTTGTAATTTAGAGAGAGACATGGACCTACTTAGGTCCTGATTTGCACCAATTCTGTTTTTTGTGTGTAAGAAGTTTATTCACCATAAAAGGATCGATCTTATTTTACTGATTTTTTTTTTCTCACAAATGAGAAGAAATAAAGAAGATTATGAAACTAATAACTATTATTTTGCCTCAAATAAAGTCATAAAACAAAAATCAAATCTCTTAAAGATTGTTTGGTTTTTGACAAGAAAAATGCAGAATAAAAAAAAATCAAATATCTTTCAATTAGGGATACATGCGACATCTCCCCACTCCTAATAAAGTATAATCAATTTCATGAGAATTCAATTCAACCTTTTTCATGAATGTTAATGTCATCGAGTAACGCTCTAACAAACAACCTCGAATACATTAAATATATTTGATGAATTTATCACAACTTCTTTCACCCAGATTAACATCATCGAGCAACTAAAACTAAGACATTATTAAGTCTAAATTAGTTGAACTCCATTCATTAAACAAGTCAATTTGGCTTAAAACTAATATATTTTTATTTACCATAAAATACAAGTCATCACATGAAGTTTTCAGGGTTATTTTCATTTTTTAAAAAAAGCTTAAAAATGATTAAATATTTAAAAAAATAAATAAAAAGTAAAAATCAAACATATTTATAAAAAATAAATCATAAACTGCTCCTCAGCTAAGAACAATTTCCTAAATATGCTTCAGCTCCACTGTTGCTCAATGGGATCTGCATCAATTTTTATCGATCGATGAATAACACAGATACCTCCAATGATGGGGGAAATTTTCCCTTCAAAAAGTATTCCTTGTAACTCCTAAAACTGCTAGCTAAATCATTAGGGTTTAGATTCTTGAAACTCTTAAGCCAACAATTGTAAGAACTCAAATACAGAAGGAAGAATGTAGAAAGAAATCCTAAAAATTTTAGGTTCCTTGTATAGAAAAATAAGCACAAAGAATAGCATTTTTGAAATCATCTATCTTGATTAGATCTCACATAACATGAATCCTGAAACAACCATGACAATTTGTGGTGTTAGTACTATAATTCTCTTGGTCTTCTAGGTTGTTCAAAAGAAATAAGAGAATTGGGAGATTAATAAACAGTTACATTCATCTATGTCAAATAGGACCTGAATTGGGGTCTAAAGAGCCAATAAATTTTGAACCAGGTTGATTGGAGCTAAAAATTAAAAGTCCCCCATAAAGAGTCATCATGAGTCATTAAAAGCAAAGTAGCCAAATAAGAACTCAGCGTAACTAAAACCATCACTGAACTAGGAAAAATTATTGTGTTCGGTGTCCGGATTCGTCCAGAGGTGCATTTGGATGCGCCATGTCATCTGCTGCCCAGTGCATCTGGGTGACGTGGCGCGTTCGAATTCACCTCCGGATAGTCCGGACGCCGCACACAATAATCTCTCGTTCAGACCAATTGATGTTCAAGTGTGGTATCCATTAAAGGGGAAATTATTGGGTTCAGACAGCATACGCCGTCCAGAGTCCAATGAAAATGCGTCACATCACCCCTTACTCGGTACTGAGCAGTAACAAGCTCGGTACTGCTCAATACCGAGCTCAATACCGAGCTCGATATTGCTCGGTACTGGATAACGTGATTGCATCTGATTGGTCTCTGGACGATAAGTTGTGCACGTTGTCCGAACCCAATAATTTCCTGTAAAGGATACCTAACAAACAACAAACTTCATGAAATTTTCCCACAAGACTCACCTGACAAACTTTCCCTTGCCCTCCTCTAATTGGAAGTAGTGCTTAGCCGCTACATGAATAGTTACATTTCATCCTCATATTGGCCTCACCTTTTCTGCTTGCATTCAAGCTCTAAAGTCTCCATCTATTTTCTATTTGTTTAATTTCAAACTCCTATTGTTATGGTCAAAATTATGTTCAAGAAATTGATAGAAATATTTACAACATCACAAATTTATGTAGGTTATTTAACAAAATACAAATTGTCATCCACTGATACATTACAGAAAACTTGTCCTCAAAACTACATTAATTTCTACAATATTTATATTAATAAGACAAAATATATGCCTGATTATTCAAAAAGTTTCAATGTAAGGGAACTGCAACAAAGTCATTTTCCTTTGCACTGCTAAAACAATAGAGGATCGACATCAAGGTGAAAACTGATTCTACTGATCCTGCATTCCAATTATACAAGCTTGATTAAATGTAAAAAAGGCCAGCATATTGAACATTAAAAAAAAAGTCAGCACTCAATTCCCATCAAGATGGGCTCTAAAAATTGACACATGACCAAAAATTATTTCATATGATGCAAACGCATATGAAACCTCTCATGGAATACCTCAAAAGAACCCGTTGTGATTTAGGCTTCATTTGGGACAGCTTTCTTATTGTTTCTTAAAGCTGCTTTCTAATACAAAAATTTTAATTTTTATACTATAAAGCAGCTTTAAGAAAGCGATCCCAAAGGAAGTCTTAATCTTTTGCTATTTTGTAGTAGATTTCACAATAAATAAACATCTTAATAACTTTGTATTTAGCCTATAAAACTATTGCGTGTAATGAATGAATTTCTGTTTCAGCTTCTAGGATAATTGCTCTGAGAATTACATATAAACATCTTGATATTTTATCATTTTATCATAAATTTTGCATCAAATCTCTTTATTATTCTTGCATTTTCTACAAATTAAAAACAAGTAATTTCATAACATATAAATATAATAGAAAAACTACATGTCAATTTTTTATATTTATCCTGACAAGAATTAGGTTAGGATAATCCTAACCCAATTCTTTTCCAAGAGCCTATATAAAAAAAATCAAGATACCACTTTCATGATGGTTACCTCTTTATACAGTGACTGATTGGGTTCAGAATATCTGCATGCGTACAGCATAACTGTTACCACACCATGAAATTCAGCTCTGTAAATTCTGAACACTGTTGCAGGAAATTTGGGTACGATCTGATCTATTCAATCTTGATTCAACCATTCACTTTACAGGACGAACACCAACAGTTCTAACACGGAATCTATACTGAGGCTGCTGCTCTTCTGTTTCATCTTCTTCCTCTTCACTTGAATCAACTTCCACACTATCCCATCTCGAGTAATCTAAACCAGAATGTCCTTTAGGTTTAGGAATTGCTTCCCATCCTGGTGGATTTGAATGAGTTGGAGTCTCAGGATCTCTAGCCTCAATAACAGTAGGTTTTGGAGAGATAAGTGGAGCCACATTCTTTTTATTTACTTTATATAAATTATTTGATTCAACATCCTCATCTTCATCATGACACATTGATTCATCCTCGGATTCAGGTATTGGAGCTAGAGACTTGATTCAACAGCACAACGAAACCATAAAAGCCAGTACGAAAAGAGAAACTTAGGCTTCATTTGGGACGGCTTTTTTATTGCTTCTTAAAACAACTTTTTAGTGTAAAAATTTTAATTTTTGTACTAGAAAGCTGCTTTAAGAAGCGGCTAGAAAGCCGCCCGAAACGAAGCCTTAAATTTGCTGACTTAGCTAAAGCAAAGTTATATGCCATTCAATAATTCGAATAAATTCAATCAAAAAATAAATAAAATCATCAATAGAAAGTTAAATAAGATGAGAAAATTTCTCTGATACAATTAATTCAATAACAATAATATTATGAGACCGACTGCATGTCAGCTTTAAGATTCATTTGTTTCAAGATATGGAACAAAATATATTTATTTTTGCTTCTCTATTTTGGGATCAAGGGAAGAACTCGGTGGAATACTAAGATCCTCTTTCTAAATACAGGAAATTCCAAACAGGTTAATTAAAAATAAAATTAATAAGAACTCACTCATAAGTTATGGTTCAATCATCCATAATTATGTTCAAAGAATCAATGTGAACTATCTCAACTTCGAAAAACATGCATAACTGTAGCGTATTGAAGTCATTTTTGGGTGAATGGCAGAGAACAGTGAATGCACGTTTATCTTAATAGATAAATGTACATCTAGCTCAAAAGGAAATTGCTTTGCAAATATCAATATATCTCATGAAAAAAGTGCCATTTCATGTTTTGAATATTCCTAAAAATCTTTGAAAATGGACACAATATTCCATATTGTGTAACAAAGAACTAGTATGAATGGTGAAATTATTAGGCATGAATAACATAGATGTAGATGGTTAATCAGGACATCCATAGATTGGTTGTCCGCAAGCTTCTATCCACACCTATAATTTATCATATGAAAGCCATGAGCAAACGCAAATAAACAGTAAAAATGGACTTGACAGTGAGAACCTAAGCAATCTTAATTTAAACTGCATGAAGGTTGATAAGACCTAGAAGAACACTTGGCTGTAAATCACCATACATGAACCGTCAGATGCATGGATAGAAGATCAAAGTACTGTAACAAAACGAAAGTTTAAATGAAAGCAACAATAATGCTATTATTCCAAGGTGTGACCATAAACAAGCGAAGAATATCTCCATTCTTCTAAATTTGATTTCTCTCTCACATTAAATTGGGATACCACCTGAACCATTTTAGGAAATTCTGACATTACAAGCTAAAATCGTAATGCAGACACCAATAAGGCTGATATCTAAACAAATTCCTTCAACACACTGGTTGCAGTCATTGCAAATTAGGTTTGCTAATATAATTTGACAAGGCAAGAGAAATGAGTTTCAGGAGAATGAAAGCCATGTTGCTAAAATGAAGGAAACAAGCATACCAATTGTGTTCTAAGTCGTGCTTGCAGGTTTCGATACACATCTGATGCTGGATTAAGTTCCATCAGTCTGTTGACATCAAAGAGTGCTGATTGATAATCCTTTAGGGTGACAAGAGTCTGTGCTCGTAACATCAATGCTCCAGTGTGTTGTTGATCCAAATCAAGAACTGAAGTGCACTCTTGAGCTGCCTGTAGCAACAATCAAAATGAATCAAAAGCGAAGAGCAATGGCTTACAATTACATCATGCAGAAAACGCCATCAAATCATTTAAGTTCAAATAAAGAGAGATTCTGTGATATTTAGCAGATTAATTAAATGCATGTTATGGCAGTTGGAAATAAAAAAAAAAAAAAGAGTTTAACATAGTACATGAAATTCTTGCTAATGTCCGGTGTGAAACGAGGTTGTTGAACGTGGCCTTGTCCTCGCATTTGCAGAGAGTTTTTGTGACTCAGACATGTGACCTCTAGATAACATTGTAGATAATCTAATCACTTATTTCGATTCTAAACTGTCAACATTATGATGAAGGCCATAATAAGAGGATCAAATCGATAGAAGGACCTGTTTTTTTTTTTTTTAGAATTATTTCTCACCCTTTGGTTTCAATGCAGACACATATCATAGTCTATGGAAACCAATGTAGTTGAAATCAAAGGCTCAAAAATGCTCATAACTAGATGGTTTGAGGCAGACTGTCTCAACCCAAGCTTTTGTGGATGGATAGCCCATGAAGGATAGCGGTGGACAACCCGTCATGGATGCTGATAGCCAATAATCCACAATCATATCGATGTAAGAGATGTTTACCATGCAATTCATTCCAAATTATTTGGGCTTCTTGAAGCTATCTCTCCTTCAATACACCATTGCACAATCCATTCATCTCAAATTGTCCCTCTCAAAGAGAAGACTTGCTCCATGTAAAAATGGCCGGGTATAAATGCCACATTTTATGGAAGATGAGGCCTCAATACCCTACTCAAAAGGCGACTAATCTTCACAAAATCATTAATGTCAATCCAACCATCAAAACTTTAATTCCTCGCCATCAATATGCTTATGAAATCATTGTCTATGACGAAAGATGATGTCTCAATACGAAATTGTACCATTTCAAACCTTAAAAAAGACTTTTCTTTGTGCTCGTGGTATCACCTATTTGATTGCCTAAGAGATATCTAGTACTAAAGTCGTTCCAACTTATCGGCAGCAGACCAACTTCACACTAACTTTCTAAAAAATTATGAATCTTTGCAATTGGGTTATACCTAGCGTTTTCTTACCCTCTAGGAATTTTCTAAACTCTCTTCTACAATGTGTATGTTGAAAAGCTATAAATTTCCTCAAATTTCATCAATTCCTTAATGACTATCTAGTACACAACAAATGTAACAAATGTTATTGCAGTAGAACCTCTTTAGTTGTGTTCCTTTCCTGCCATTATAGCTACAGGAGGAAAATAACAATTGCCCTAGCCAACCTTTATTCTTAAAAAAAAGTCAATTTTTTTTAAAAAAGGTATACTAATGCGTCATCATCCACATAAAATGAAAAGTCATCAGCCAACCAATAGTTCAAAACGGAGTATGGTTGAGAACGAAACCAGAACTTTTCAGGATATTCAAGAAACCAATATTTCCCAACAAGCAATAACCCCTCGAAAGAACCTACCAGCACAAGATAAAAACAGAAACCAGAATATGAAAACCTTATTGAAGTCATGCAGTTTTAGATAACAAGCAGCCCGGTTGCTATGCAGCGCGATCTTCTGTGCTTTGTTCTTCGCCATCCCTAGCGCTTCCGTATAGAGCTCAAGAGCATCTCGATGCTTTAATTCCCGGTACATTCGATGAGCTCTCTCGATCTTGTTCAATGTCGTCTCCATCTCCATAAATCTCCTTCTCCTTAGCTGTAAGAACACAGAAACCTCTTATCCTGAATCCCTGGTCCACGGACTACGAAAGCCAATACCAAAAGATATCAAGAAAATTATGGAACCTAAAGGGAGGGGAGACGAATCAGCCACTGCGACGAGATTTCAGGGGTGGCCGCCGGTGACTCGGATTGGACGACGGCGAGGCGAAGCGGCGGTTGTGGAATCGTTGAACGAGAAGACTGAGGGAAGATTTGGGATCGTCGAGGCTAAATTAGCCGGCAATCTTTGTGCTTAATTTGATCTGACGAAAATACCCCTCATACTTTATTATTTTGTCATATTTGGATTTTCTTTATTGTCGTGAGTGCTGTTCATACCATTCAAACTAAAAATAAATAAATAAATAATGAGATTTTTTATATATTCTTATTAAATTTAATATTTATTAGTATATTGCCATTTTTTAAATTATTAATATCCTATCATACTCTTTAAATTTTTATTAATATATTAAAATGAGAGAATGATTTTATTAGCTTAAAATAACTTTTTTTTATTGTTTTTTATTAGAAAATTTTAATAATTTCTCTAATTATTTTTTATCAAAAAATAAATCTATTTTAATGCTAAAAATTATATTAATTTTTCTTAGGTCAAAACATTTTTTTAATTATTTCTTGATTTGTAAGATGGACCAACCTTTGTACTTCAAACAAATACTAGTGGAACTTTGCAACTGGGCGAGGCCCCGTGGTTTTTTCCCTCTTTCGGGTTTTCCACGTAAAAACCTTGGTATTCATTTTCTCTTTTCTGTTTGTTTGCGGAATACTCGTGCAACGCTAAGACGAATATTTCCTAACTCTACTGCCGCGTATATTCTAGCACGCAACAAGAATATTACAATCAACCTAAAAAAATAAAAAAAAACAATAAAAAATGATCTTCCAAGGAACAAAATAAGAACACATTTAATTAAATATATCATACATCTAACAAGTAATTAAAAAATAATTTCTATTTTCTTATGATTAAATTATGATTATAGTGGTGATGGTAGCCATCAAAAGAATTTTGATCTTTTGCATACTATCGATTAAAATTAGATGAATAAAGTTAAAGGGTTTTTAAGAAAATGGCATTAGGAGTTCCCTTTTGCTAATGTAGTTGATGATTTCATAGATATATTTTAAATTAATTTATTCAATGATATAAGACAAATTTATTTTTTGTTTGAAAAAACTTTTTTATTACTTTCTAAAAATAACTTTTCAATATAAAAATTAATTATTTAAAAAAAATGTGTACTATAAACTATTTTAAAAAATTGTAAGAAAAATGTCTCAAATGAAGCCTTAATCTCACTCACCCTATTTACTTTTGTAGATTATGTTGCATTAGTCGATAAACATGGCTTCAATGATGACACTATGGTGAAAATAATCATCAAGAGGGAGCACAATAACTAACATATTCTTGCCCACTTAAAGAAAAGTAGGCTTCAAAGAGAAGAATTACTCATGTTTTAAGATGAAGAATGTTAACCCAAGGAGAATGTCAATCTCTTAGTCCAATGAGAAATTATTCCATGCGGAGTCCGAATGAAACTTTTTCGTTCGGGTTGTGTTAACACACTATGCACAAACAGTACGTACACAATTTGAATCAAACTGTATAAAAAAATTATACACAGAGTACACAGTGTGTACACTCACAATCCGAACGGACCTTTTCCGTCCGGACTCCACACGGTATAATTTCTCTAGTCCAATAGTCCAAGTTGATACTATCAACTTAAGGATAGCTTACCTTAACACAAGTGCTATGTGAATTGAGCAGTCAAGAAAGTTATAAAATATTCAACTGAGCTTAATGAATATGAGCTCCAACACATGCTAAAAAAGTGAAGACTCAACTCTCAATAGACTTCATTGCTGAGCCTAAGTGCCGTTAACTTCAGAAATGCTAAGATTTCCTTCAAGAGATCCATATTGGTAAGTATGAGAGATTCTCAATGTAGCACAAATTGGCAAAGATGTTGAGGGAAGACTACTACTAGCACAAATAATAAAGAGAAAGCAATGAAATGACTACAAATTTCCAAAATTGCATCAGCAAATCAAATGAAAGTAGTAATATACAGCAACAACAAAACAAAACAAAAAAACAATCACAAAGTATACTTTTAAAAATACATATATGGACAGAAAATTTTGCTGTATTTTGCAGATTATGAATATTTTACTTCCATGAAGAGTAAAACAGCAAAATAAAATACAATTTTAGTATCATCAGCCCCACCATAACAACATTAAGAATTTCCTTTCCTTGAAACCTTGATAGACACATTGGACCAATATAAAAACTCTATCGATGAGGTCATCTCATTCAAAGTATGGTAGCTGAGTTGAAAGTCTGAAGCTGTTCAAGAGCTGTCCATGGGGGTTTCAGTCCCAGTAGGAGGCACTGCACTGAATGCATTACTCTCCATGATTCTCTGCTCAGGTGTTCTTCCGGCTCCGAACACGAAGGCGCCGGGTGCACTGTTTGCGTCATTGCGTTGGAAGATTGAGGTGGTTGTGGCCTGGTTGAAGATGGGAATTGGGGCAGTTCCAGTTGTTTTAGGAAACCCAAGATTGAAACCTAAAGGAGAAGAATAAACAGGCATTTCTGAAGCTGAAGATGCCACGGTTTCATTGGAACCAAAGAGTTTCTTTTCAAATTCGATCAACTGCTCCCGGACAACTGGATATTTAACAGAAGAAAAGTCTGAGAAGGCCAAAAAAACATGAATTTTTATTCTATGCGGACTCTGGACCGTCCGGAGACCAATAAAAATGTGCCACGATACTTCAAAAATGTACAGCGTTGGGTACCGAGCTTGGTACCCGCACTCGGTATCGAGCGCGGAACTGGACGGGAGAACCGTCAGGTGTCCGCACAGAATAATAGCTCAAAAAACACATACTAACGCCATTAGATACTTAGTAGCCTATTTATTATCCTTGGCATCTAGCTGAGAATTTTAAAGGTGTTTCCTCAATGATTAAACCTCAAAAATCAATGGAAGGACGAGAGAGCAAAGGTGAATAAGTATTGAAGACTTGTGCAGGTGATAAATAGGCATTGAGGACTTGGGGGCTGTTCGATATCCTATTTTAGGCAGAGGATTTAAGCAAGTTTAAGCTTTAATCCTGCAAACAGAATTTTAAGGACTTCAAATCCTGCTAATTTGATAAATCTTGTTTCAGCTCTATTGTTGATTAAATCCAAGATTTGTTAAATCTCATAATTTATAGGATTTAAGGATTTCTACTCTTGCAAATCTCAAATCCTATAAACAAATAGGCAAACGGTTTATCAGGATTTAGCAAGATTTAGTAATTGCCCTGCCATACAGACTTCAGGTTTTAATCCTCAAGATATGCTTAATCCAGCTAGTAGCCAAATAGCCCCTTAAGATTAACTGTAAAGCCACTACAAATATCAACTGTTAAATTTATATATTAGAGAAAAGGAAACCTTTGAATAGAAGGCTAACCTGGAGTCAGCTCAACCTGTTGCCTATGATCTTTCACCCATTGAAAACTTTGTGGAAACCGCCAACCTCTAGATCTCATCAAGTAGGCAATAACAATAGCTGGGGATCTGTCAAATAGAATATATTTTAAGTAGAGGATCACTATCAAACAAAATTCATCTTCCTAAGAATGTATTTTAAGTGGAGGATGACTATCAAACAAAATCCATCTTCCTAACATTCATCGCTTTTCAACGGATCCCATCGGAACCGTAGAAATGTAAGATGTACCTATTTTTTCCTGACATACAGTGTACAAGAACACGAGCCTTGTCCTTTTCACACTGCTCTGCAAAATTTATCATAAAGTTATGTAAGAAAGGGGAAAATCAGAAACAAACAAAACTAGTAAATAAATTCAGTAAATACTGAAGCAGGGCCAAACAGAAAAAGTACAGATCATCGAGTAGGGTCTTTGAAATTTGTGAATCCATATAACATACACAGAAAATGAAAAAATAAACATCATAAAAAGATTAGTAAAAAAAAATAATCTGATATATATTATGCTTTTTTACCTCTTATCGTTATATTATACATTTACCTCCCATATATTCTACCTAAGGGCAAAGCTTCAACCCGCTCCACCATTATTGCCCCCTCTCAAGCTTTTAAGATTCCACCACTCCCTCAAACTCCTGCCAATAAAAATTCTCCCCCTAAACGCATCCTCTCTAGTTATTTCGCTATTGCAGAAGAAATAGTTTCCAATCAATGAAATAAACCATGGAGAAACTTTGAACATTAGCGTACTTCAGACCGATTCCTGCTCTACTGATTACTAACCAAAGATTTCACAAACTTGATATAAATAGCTTATTTTTACGTCATGTACGTTTTAGTAGAGGATGGTTTGAAGGGATTCATGAAAGTTTTGATATAGGAAATAAAAATATGATGGAGGAAGCTATATTTGATTTATCAATAATATAAGAATTTGCAATATTGTCTGATTTTGTAATATGAAGCTCTTTAGAATGACAAAGCGCCTAGTTACTTTTAAAACAGTTGTACTTTTTTACATTTTTTTAGTCGGGTAGTAGAAGAAAAAATCTTCCTTTTTTTTTTTCTTTTGCAAAGATGAAGACCATAAGAGAGTTTGATCACAAAAGAATTGCATCTAGCAATTACTTAGTCCAACTATGCAAGAGTAGATGTTAATATTGAACTACATCGGCACAAGTGGTCAGTCCAACTATGTTGATGGCTAATTCACCACCATCATTGAGCTAAATCATTGAGCTAAATAAGATGCAAGATATTTATGAAGCACAACGCAACTTACACAATAGGTAAAGCTAAGAAAAGCACTCGGGAAAATGTCATGACGGTGTGGTGTAACTTAGACTCTTAACGTTCAAGAAAGATATTAATCGAATTTATAAATGAACATCTCCCTTTATTTTTTTTAATGATTTTTCATATAAAAAGGATACAAGATTTGCCCTATAGATTCCATAATGAAGCACGACGCAACTTACACGGTAGCAAGAGCTATGATGAGACACACCTAGGTAGAAGCCATGGTGGGATGCAGCACAACATACACCATTAAGGTTCAAGGAAGATATCAATTGAGCATTCGTGCTAACAACTAGACAATATCTCCCCCTTATATCTTTTTGTTGACTTTCATGTCAAAAAAGCTATGAGACAAGCCCAGATGTATGTCATGGTGGAGGATTTTTTTTTTTCTCGTTGATCTTGGCTCAACAAGTGTGTCATGGTGGAGGATGTCGTGACTAATGTCGTAGAAAAGGGTATCAGATGAAACCTAAATGGTGGGGCGAAACTTGACTAACTTCATATATATGAGAAGGGAGAAACAAGTTTTGTGAAGTTATACCTAATATCGTCAACACGCATGCTCAAACCATTATGCTAGTTTCATAGCAAATAACCCTAAAGAAAGGCTTTGCAAGTAGAGTTATTGATTCATATGACAGATATAACCAGAAGGAGATGTTCAGACGTCAGTGAATTACATAACTTGAGAAGGAGAAGGTCATGGGATAGGCATCATGAAAATGGGGTAGCAAGTTTTAGTAAGGATAATAGTGTGTTGTTTGTGAGGTAACTAGTAGAGTGCGCGACGAAGAGTTGGGAGTCCAAGAAATGCAAGACGAAGCGAAGCAGAGGTACAAGAACATGGGAGATGAAATCGCAAGCCTTGAGGCGCTACGAGTTGGAAGGAGGCAATGCGAATGCTCAGGATGTTGGGCAATGACAAAGGCACATGTAGAGTTCAAATTAACAACAGGAAAGTAGGTATAATGAACTTTTATGAAATAAAGAAGAAATATAACAAAAAGAGGGAGCATTTAGGAGTTCAGACGAGCAATGGGTGTGGGTTGTGCAAGTGTTTTAAATTCTTTCCCTCTTTTTCTCTTCTTCAATCTTTATTTAAGAAAAAGCTCAAAATAATCATCCAACTACCCCAATTTAGTTTCACACTACCCCTATTTAGTTACATTGACTATTGAAAATTATTCAAATTTGGCCCCTTCATTAACAAAACTATCCAAATTGACGGAAAGTCAATGCTCTCTCGCTGATTCATAATTTGAGGAGGGCATTAAAGTAAAATCTTTATAATTTATAATTTTTTAACTCAACAATCAAAACCGCTTACCCTTGAAAATAATTACACTGTTGAATCTACATAAACTAGTAGAAGTTTACTATATAACAATATAACGTAAGACAGATATTTAATTATTTTTTCAGATTTCAAGAGGCTAAATAATAATTACTAATATGATTTTTCATAATAACTTACTAGCCTGATAACCATTGCAAACATTTATTTTACTAACTATTTACCTATATTATTTAGTATATTTACTTCCCTTCAAATTTTTGTGTTCATTATAATTCATTAAATGACAAAATAAAGCAACAAAAGTCTAATCTCACATACACTTGCACTATCTAAAAACAATCACATTTAACTTAGGTGTTAACTTTAACTATCATTTTTTGCTAAAAGGGATCAATTTTCAATAGTAAAGGGATTAAAATTGGAGCATTGGAAAACTCTAGATTAAATTGGGCGCTTATTAATAGTTAATGGACTGTTGTGGGCTTTTTCTCATTTTTTTTAAACACTTATATTAACCTAGTAGCTTCCTAGTACAAATTGTCATGTTTGTGTATGGCTTTAACATCAACTTCGCCATCATCATCGTTGGATGATGACATAGTGCACATAATAGTCATACTTTTAAATTTGCAATCCAAACTTCTAGTTAAAACTTCCAAAATCACCTATAGTTGAGAATTCATATATTTTTTATTAACATCTAAATAACATAGAAGACGATAAATTAATTATTTAATTCTCATCAAATCGAGTAAATATTATAGCGTGAAAGTTAAAAACCCTCTGCAAAAAAAACCTTTTTTTATAAATGATGCTAGACTTCATAGGCAGCAAGCTCATGGGAAAAGAAACCCTTTCAACTAAAAGTCACTCATGCCTATAGTGTGACTAAAAAATCTCTTGGCATACAAAAAAAATTCACTTTGTAGGACTTATTAACCAGTGGGTCGATTGGCTTAAAGAGATAGAAGGGAAGCAATAAAAGAAGATTGGTTGATACAAACACCATGTTCGTTGGCCTGAAGAAAGAATATTATGCTTGGCTGGAAGATAAGAAGAAGCTACCTTGAAAAGGAACTTTCCTAAGTCCTCAAATCATAGTGAGGATAAGGTCATCGCAAGATTCAAAAGAGCTCAAATTATTCAAAGAATAGTCATTTTGGCTTAGTCATCCATCTTCAAATGACCCAGAGTCCAATAAATGTGAAATTGATGAAATTTATATAACATTTTGAGTATATGAATACCATATTAAACGGTTAATAGTTGGTGTTAATCAAATTGAGGAAGATTCTCAAGTTGTGAATGGAGAGGATGCTAAAAAGATGAATATTTTTTGGAATTCCATCAACATTCCATTGCTTAATGATTATCCATATATATCATATAGGCCTAAAAGTGTTTTAGAATTAATGATATTTTCATAATTTTAGTCATTAACATAATCTAATTCATTTTAAAGTTGTGTTTTAAAAAAATATTTATAGTTTATGTGTATATATCATTTCAATGAATACTTAAAATACAAGAGCAATTCAAACAATTGTTTTAAAAAAAAAAATTGACACTATAACTTAACCAAAAAAATAAATCACTTTCTAAGTTATAAAGATCACCCCAACAATAAGATTCTACAAACAACAACAATATCTTCATCAACAACAACATTATACACACTGTATAATTGATTTGCAAACAATAATAGCAACCCTCAATATGCCTTGAAAGGTAATATGATAAGAAGTGGATGTAATTTCAACAAAAACTAGAGAACGACAATAAGAAAATTAGAAATAACACATAGGAACACTTTTTATGGAAAGATCTATGAAGGAAAATACAAGATACAGTTGGATCTTCAATTGGAGAGGAAGATCCGGCTCTCCCAAATCTCTAGTTGCTAGCTAGAGCCCTCTCAAAAAAGACTATAGCAAATACAAATCAATTAATACCCAAATATTGGCTCAAGAAAAACAGTGCGTCGACATGAATCTCACTTTGCAGACATATGATTCCATTCTCCTTAAGTCAGATTGTAATTAACCATATTTCCCCTGAGGATAGTGTCAGAGTTTAGTTCGATCTGGGTCCTTACTTCCAATGAGTGCAAGCACTCATAGTTAATTACCCCTCTTAAAGCATAAGAAAGAACTCTCGATTAAGGATGAATAATTTTACATGTTTTTTTCTCAGTTGTAGGAGAAAATGGAGGTAAACCCGATCAGGATCCCATGGTTCTGTCGTCCCTGGTATATCATATGTTTCAGTTTACTAACACTAACAATTATTGAACATAGTATTTAGGGGATTTGATTAGCAATCATGGGTTCTCCTCTCAGGGATCTTAAATAAACTTAAGTGGTTAGATATAAGTTGATTTGGTTTAGATTTGAAAAAGGTGGTTTGGGGTTTGAATCATCGGGTAAAGAGTTTTAGGGTTTAGGGTCTCACAATTTATTTAACAATTTCCCCTATGTGTGGGTCTTACAACTTCACTCATAAGTTGCCCGTTGGTGGGTCTTACAACCTAGCTTTATAGGCTAAGCTGCCCATTAATTTTGATTGATTGGATATGTTTTACGAGTCCCTTAGAAATTGCCTATTGATGGATCATACAATCTAGCTCTACAGTAAAGCTGCCAGATTTGTTTGAATTTGGTTGACAGGTCTTACGACTCCCTTAGAAG